AGAGAGAGAGACCAAGCACAAATGGGGGAAGGGCAGAGAGAGAAGGAGACACAGAAGCCAAAGTAAGCTCCAAGCTCTGAGCTATCAGCACAGAGCCTGACACGGGGCTTGAACTCAAGAACCTGGAGATTATGACCTCAGCCGAAGTAGGTGGCTTAGCTGACTGAGCCACGCAAGTGCTCTCTTTACCAGGCTCTTAAGCTAGAACGTCAGTCTTTCTCTAGTTGGTTTACCTTCTTGTTTTAATGAAATATCTCTTCTAGTAGGTTTCAATTAGATGCTTGGGAAGCAAACTTGGTAAGATCTGACACAGTATAAAGTATCTTTATTCTATTTTTACATGTGAAATTTTGGGTAGCCATACAATAATAAACTGAAAGTAATCTCTAAGGATTTAAAGGCACTGCTCCATTGTCTGGCCTCTATTGCTGCCATTCTGATTCCTTGTCCTTAATATGTGACCTATTTCTTTCTAGAAAGCTTAGCATCTTCCCCGGTGTTCTAAAATATCATTAATGACATGCCTTGGTGTGGGCTGATTTTTATCCATTGAGTTAGATACCTTACTGGGCCCTTATAATCCAGAAATTTTCATGAATTATTTCTTAAATTTTTTTTAATGTTTCTATTTATTTTTGAGAGACAGAGAGAGACGGGGGAGGGGCAGAGAGAGAGAGAAAGACACAGAATCTGAAGAGGCTCCAGGTTCTGAGCTGTCAGCACAGAGCCCTATGCGGGGCTCAAACTCACAAGCCGTGAGATCATGACCTGAGCCGAAGTTGGACGCTTAACCGACTGAGCCACCCAGGCGCCCCGCGTGAATTATTTCTTTGATGACTTTCTCCTCTCCATTTTTTTAGTTCTCTCTTCTACAATGTCTATTATTCAGATGATACGTTTTGAGGCTGATACTCTTTGATTTTCTTTCTTATTTTCCAGCACTATATATATTTATTTTTTAACTCTACTTTTGGGGCAGCGGCCTCAATTTTATGTTCAGTTTCCTCCATCAAAATGTTCCTTTCTGCTATCATATTTAAAATTTTAAGAGTACTTTAAAAATAGTACATCATTCCTTCTTTCAAGGATGCAATCTCTTCTCTTAACTCTCGAAGATATTCATTCACCAATTTATTCAGAGGGGCAGGTTTATAATCTCTTTGTATAGTGTCTGGTTCCAAGTAGCTTCTTTCTGTCTGTAGTGGTGAGACTTTCAGGTTACAGACCCTTCTTAGTTGTCTGATGATCCTTGGTTGTTTGCTCATAGGTAAGAATGGAACACTCATTAATAATTTGGTGGGGGGGG